CACAAGTGTTTAATTAAAGTCTGTTGAATGAATGAATGAATGATGGCTGGGGGAGGCCTGCTGTCAATAAGAGTTGAACAACTGAATGACAATGATACATTTAGCAACAGATGATCATGAAAGTTTCTGAAGCAGAAAAGTGACATAAGTGAATATAGTACTTGAGAAAGAATATGTTGGGAAATCACGTGGTACAGATTAGTAACCAGATGAAGGTCACTGGGAAAATCACTAAACCTTGTGATCATCAACTTTCCTTCTTAAAAAATTAGAATATCATTATCTTTAGTGCCTACCCCATAAGATTGTCGAAGTATAAAATAAAATTTGTGGGGGCCGGCGCAGTGGTTCACTTGGTTAATCCTCCACCTGCGGCACCAGCATCCTATATGGGCGCTGGGTTCTAGTCCCTGTTGCTTCTCTTCCAGTCCAGCTCTCTGCTGTGGCCCGGGAGGGCAGTGGAGGATGGCTCAAGTGCTTGGGCCCCTGCACCCGCATGGGAGACCAGGAGGAAGCACCTGGCTCCTGGCTTCGGATCGGCGCAGCGCCAGCCGTGGTGGCCATTTGGGGGGTGAATCAATGGAAGGAAAACCTTCCTCTCTGTCTCACTAACTCTATCTGTCAAATAAAAAATAAAATAAAATAAAATTTGTGAAAACTTCCTGAAGGTACAGATCACTGCATAAATATAAGAAATTATATAAAGAACAAAAAGTATGTCAACAAAGAATTTTTAGCAAAATCCAAAGCAGCAGAGCATAGTGGAAAAAAAGCAGGTGCAAATGTCAGCTTTACCCTTTCATTGTCATGTAGCCTTCAGTAGGTCACTTGGCTTTTCTATGCCTCCACTTCATTACTTACAAAGTATGAGTATCACACTCATAGGTTTATTATGTTATTTTTCTATCTCATATATGGCATGACAAATGGAAGGCAGCCAATAAATTATAGTCTCCTTCCCTCATTACCAACCACTCTACATTTATCCCGCCAAGATATTATCCCAGCCTCAGACCAAAGTCCAGAGAATTTGGAAGAAGTGGAGAGCTACACTCTTACTAAAATCTTAAAAGGTAGGAAATGCTTGGCAACCTAATGAGAACCACGGTAGATTCAGGGACTAAATAATGCATTAGATAAATGACATATAAAAAATTAACAATGGATAGGAGAGGGCAACAAAACAGCTTTGGAACCCAATTTCCAAGCAGGCCAGACCATGAGAGGGAATGAACTGGATGGCATGAGGTCCAGGAGTGAGGTCAGGGGGGAAGAATCTCTCTCTCACAGCCCTCCTCCCTTGTGCACATGAGTCACCTTGCACCCTCAGGTGAGTCCTCTCAACTTCTGCCTCCGTCTCATTCTCTGTAAATTGGCATGATGACAATATGAGCACAGCAGAAAGCTGGGATGGCTGGGCTCCTGACACTGCCAAGCTGCTGATATCCTGATTATCTGAGATTCTGGATTTCCTGGGCACCTGGAAAGAAAAGGCCGAGGAAAGAATCTCGCAAATGTGTCTGAACATCAGCAAGTGCGTCAGAAGATTTAATGAAGAGACACTGCCCTGAATCCTGACATGTAGTAGGAAAAATACTTTATGCAGAAATACAAAATAATCAGGCTGGACACTCCACAATAGCATTTTCCTATAAGTTTAAAAGCATCTCATTGAGAACTTAAGTGACTCACCTAAGGTCACAGAGAACACCAACTCTGAGTTAGATCTGCAGCAGGGACCCCTAGGCTCCCAATTTACCCAATGGCCAGAAGGAATCGCTGTGGCACAGTGGGTTAAAGCCCTGGCCTGAAGCACTGGCATTCCATATGGACGCCGGTTCTAGTCCAGGCTGCTCCTCTTCCAATCCAGCTCTCTGCTATGGCCTGGGATAGCAGTGGAAGATGGCCCAAGCCCTTGGGCCCCTGCACCCATGTGGGACACCCTGAAGAAGCTCCCGGCTCCTGGGTTGGGATCGGTGCAGCTCCGACAATTGTGGCCAGCTAGGGAGTGAACCAGCAAATGAAAGACCTCTCTCTGTCTCTACCATTCTCTGTAACTCTGTCTTTCAAATAAATAAAAGAAAAGAAAAGAAACACACTTTAACAAATACAAATGAATAAATTTGGAAAAAGAAACATTACAATATAACTTAATAAAAAACAGTTCCTAAAGAAGATAAAATTTCAACATCCTGATACTCCCTTGTACAAAAAAAAAAAAAAAAATCCAAGCATGCAGTTCTCTTACTATGTTGAAAAATTATCAGGGGCTGGCGCCACGGCTCACTAGGCTAATCCTCCACCTTGCGGCGCCAGCACACCAGGTTCTAGTCCCGGTCGGGGCGCCGGATTCTGTCCCAGTTGCCCCTCTTCCAGGCCAGCTCTTTGCTGTGGCCAGGGAGTGCAGTGGAGGATGGCTCAAGTACTTGGGCCCTGCACCCCATGGGAGACCAGGATAAGTACCTGGTTCCTGCCATCGGATCAGCGCGGTGCGCCGGCTGCAGCGCGCGTGCCGCGGGGGCCATTGGAGGGTGAACCAATGGCAAAGGAAGACCTTTCTCTCTGTCTCTCTCTCACACTTTCCACTCTGCCTGTCAAAAAATAAAAAAATAAAATAAAAAATTAAAAAATTTAAAAAAAAAGAAAAATTATCAGTACAAATGATGTCAAGACATTGTCCATAATACAATACAACCTATTTGATATAGGATATCATGTCCTAACATATCCTATAATCAAAACTCACTTATTACAGTTATAGGCTAGGACTTAAAAAAATGTTCACCTCAGAGGATGTCTGATGTCTGATGTCTGGCTTTAGCTACAAGTTCATACCTAAAAGGTTTATGCAGTAGAGAAGAAGTTTCACCTAGGCTTCCTATGAGAATTGCGAAGGGAGAATTTACTCCCATTCCCTGACTCTGGGGAACAAAATGAAAGGAAGCCTGTCTGAATGCAACATGTTCAGTCACATTTTCTTGGGCTTTCTGTAGAATGTCACCGTAGGTCAAGGGAGAAAACAAAGTCAGTGCTCACGAGTGTCAGAAATACTTTCTACTGCATCCTCCTTTAGAAATTTAAATTCAAGGTGTCCCAAAGTCCTGCTACACAAAAATAATATGTAAATAACTTGTTTCAATTTACTTAACCCTGAATTCTCAAGTTTGGTTTAAAAGTACCTGAAAACCTAGGAAGACTCCATGAAACCAACACTTTAACTGGAAACTCTATTTGAAGAATCCGGAACTACCTTGGGCTTCTCCTATGGCCTCTATTCAGTCCAATCAGAACAACCTAACACCTGTACTCTTCCCTACATGCCTGAAACTTGGAATCACTTGTTTAGGACCAACTTCTTCACGTGGAGAGTGAAGGAAAGGATGGTACACGACAAAGGGAGAACTCAGGAAAGACAGGTTGAAAAACAGGTGTATGTATGATTCATCAAATGCTGACATCAAAACCAAAATTCACATAGCAAGAAAAAAAAGACAAATTCCCAACAATATATCCTACTTCCTTCTAGATCCCAAAGGTATTATTTGAACAGCTATAAATCTCTGCGGTTCCCACATCAACAGATTAGCCCACAGGAACGGAGCCCATCTGGCCAATTCAGCAAGTTGGAATTCCAACTCAGCTGCTGAGTGACCTCTGACAGGCAGCTTAACCCCTCAGTGGCCCTGTTTCCACACCCAGAGAGTGGAGGCGGCAGTCCTTCTGGCAGACTGGGCAGGATGAGGAACAACTAATAAAAAGAGGACCATAAAACCCTCTGCAATACAGTCAGTGTCCTGTAAGAGTTTAATGATTATAATCAAGCTGTGGCTAGAAGTCGGTGGGGTCCACACCTGACACTGGGCAGCCACTGCACTGAGTGTCTGATAACAGGACATCTGTCTGTGCACCTCTCAGCTGTGCGAACTGGTCTTAGCTGAGTCTGGTTTCTTCACATAGAGTTGTCACTAATCTTGAGTTTCACTGGAGACAAGATCATAGACCTCGGCTCCCTGTAGCACGTAGCTCCTTCATGAAGCTGGCACCGGCTGCAGAGGATTGTCCCACTGTACAGCATGAGTTCCCTCTAACCACATCAGAGAGGGGCAAAGGCACTAGGTGAACTATGATGGCGGCAGTGGGAAAGGCAACATCCTTTTAACAGAAAACTTTCCATATCAAAGTACTGCCATCCTATGCAGGCCACAAAGAATTAAAGGTGCAATGTTAAATGATGGCAAAGAGTGTGGGTTTTCAAGGCTGATGGATCTACTTCCAAATGCCAGCTCTGCCACTTGCCAGCTTCTCTGATCACATTAACATATCGCCTAACATATTAAAGTCTCAGTTTCCCCATCTACAAAATAATTATAATCATACTTACTCCATAAGACTCGTGTGAAGAATTAAATAAGACACAACAGTATTATCCTTGAGTTACAAAGAGGATGATGGTCACAAAGATAAAATATAGACACCCCATCACAAAGTCTTATCAGTCAAAACTCCCCCTGCTAGGTACGTAAAACAGTACTAGGTAAATTTGATTAGACTGAACTAATCATGTGATGCTGAATACAGAGAATCAGGATGGCTATGGCAGATGCCTGGTTTAGAAAGATGAACCCTCCTTCAAGAGCTACTGTCTAAACAGGAGCAAAACCAGTCCACTTCACCTCATCTAAGCCAGTGCCCTAGGCGGTTTTCCTCAATGAGGCAAATTCTGCTTATTCAAATCCTCATTTGAATAATAATAGCAGAGGAAGTTCAGACTGGCTCAGATGATACTCTTGAAGTTGCTTTTAATATGCAGATAAAAAATTAACCCCTTGGCAAAAAGAACTTATTTCTCCAACCTTTGTTTTTAATATCAAAAAGAAAGCACTGACCAGGCCAGTATAGGAGGAATTAGGATATGAACTTTAAAGTCACTACACTAACCCTCTCATCCTCACTCTTACCTGCTATGTCCTGACAACACAGCCACCCATTCAGTACTCCCAGCAAGATTTTAAAAATGAAATTGTGTGCCTTCCCCAAACCTACAGTACATTGAGACTTCTCTCTAGTGTTCTTTTACTATCTCTTCTCATTCTAATCTTCCTATCAAATTAGGATTTCTGAACTCTCACAAGGCTACTTTCTGGCCATGGTGTGTATATGTGGTCTAGTATATGAAATATAAATGCAATTCACTCATTTTTAAGAAATATTTATTTATTTTAAAGGCAAAGTTACAAAGAGAGAGAGGGAGAGACAGAGAGAGATCTTCCATCCAGTGGTCCACTCTCCAAATGGCTGCAATGACCATGGCTGGGCCAGGCCGAAGCCAGGAGCCTGGAACTCCATCTGGGTATCCCACAAGTATGGCAGGGGCCCAAGCACTTGGGTCATCTTCTGTCGTAAATGAATAGATGAATAGTTGAAACCTATGTTCTCTTCTGTAAAGTCTGTTCTAAAAGTACTAAGGAGACACAGCCCTTTGGCAAAGAGTGATTAAATCTCCACTATAAGCTGACTGCTCTCTATCCTTTGCTCAAAATATACTTTGCCCATTTCTACTACCCATCTTTCCTCACACTGCTTGGAATGCCTCTGTTTCATGTGGCTTGACTGAAATTCACTTACCCTATCTAGAACAAGTCCTACTCCCTTCCATAAGGCTTTCCAGACTTTACCTAGAATTGTTCCCTTTCTCCTTTAACTTGTAGAGTGTTTGTAGATTATAAACTGATTTCACAGCTATATTAGACCCTCTGAATGCCTAGGATCCTGTCTTTTCCAACTCTCCATTTCTCTTTCACTTTGTGCAATATCTCCCATTTATCAAGTTCTTACTTTCAGCTTTTGACTGAGTAGTAAGGCAGTGTAGACATTCATGGAATAGGTGAGGGTTATGTATTCAGAGGCAAAGAATTCTGCACCTTGGAAAGAATAATAGAAGGTACACCAAAAATTGATTTTGAATTTTGCTGGCCTTGAGAGAACAGAATACATGAAGGTTAAAAAAACCTGACTTTTGGCCTGAGAAGTTGTAATTATTTGTCATGTCAGAGCATGTGGTTCACTTCAAAGATCCAATTTGTGCTGCCAAAAGCATTATATTTTGTAATTTGTGAAATACTTTCCAAAGATGTGGTTATAGATGAGCCTTTAATGATTTATCCATTGCCCAGAGTTGACAGAAGTCAGCAAAGGGCCCAGAGCTAGGCTAGGCTTGGACAAACACAACAATGTACATCAGTAGATAAGGAAAAATCTCAAAGAAAAAGATCTGAAAAGTTCTAATTATATATCTGACAGAATGGCTAAAAGGCTGACACAAATGTTATTACACAATCACTTTCGTGAGCTTTAAGGTTTACTATTTTAAGGAATGCTTAACTTCATTACTTTTAAAACTTTATTAAACCTTAATGCCTTGATAGATGTACTATAAAGTGAATAAATTCAACAAAGTCTTATCTTCTAGAATCATTCACTCCTAGAAATTCTCATTTCTTCTCTTTCATATCTTAGAATGTAACTTTTAATTTCTGACAGTATTCTGATGTTTTATCTTCCCTTTGCTTCATCTTCTTTCTCTTAGAATTAAGCTTTTGGTTTTTTAAATTCAAAATGCTTAATTTTTAATAGGCAACACATTCACATGATTCAAATATCAAAAAGTATAAGAAAGCACACAACAAAAAAAGGCACTTCCCCACTCCTCTCCCTACAGGTAATCACTAATGTTAGTGTTTAATTTTGTTTTGTTTTTGGTATATTCTTAACAAAAAAAGTTTAGCATATATAAACAATACTAATATATAGCTTTATTTTGGAGATTAAATATTTCTTATAGCAATATATCCCACTCCAAATCATCAGAAGGTGGTGTGGAATGACTTCAGGTAAGAGCTCCAGTACCTATACCATGCCTGGAGTAGAACAAAGGCTTAGTAAATGCTTTCGGACCAAAAGAAAGAACCAAGACACACACAGCCTGTCTTCTGCTTCTTCATTAATGCTATGAGCTCAGTCAGATCCTTCTCTGAGGCAAAAGAATAAGGACTTTAATCTTCCCCAAAGCCCCTTTATCCCTATGCTATTTTCCTACCTGAATTTCAGATGCTTTTGAAGGTTAGGTGAGGAGAAATAGAAATGGAAGAAGAGGAAATGGGAAAATGGAAGACACTGAGAGAAGGATGCCAGTGAGGAGGGTCGGCAGAGCTACAGAAAAGCAAGTGCCCCTCGGGGGCAGGCCAGCTGCCAAATTCGCTGAGCTCTGCCAACCACACTCCTACCTTGTTTCACCTCCATCCTTATTTCATGCACAAAGTGGGATCTACAATGCTGAAACACCCCAAGATTATGATTCAATCACTACATCAGGACATGAGATGGTAATTGACTGGGCCTGGAAAAAACAATTCAAGTCAGACTGGCACATGCCCACCTGTCCTCTTTCCACATTTGGAAGGCCAGCACCTTCACATCCCGAATCCAAAGCATCTCGAGTATGAAGCTTCAGTTTTCAATCTCTTTATGGCACGCATTTTGGGCAGAAGCAAGACATCTTAAAAAAAAAAATAATAATTTTTTTAAAATTCTTTAGATTCAAATCCTCTTATCTCGTATCAAAGAGTGGCTTATTTTCTACTAGAAACAGATCTAACTCTAAGGATAACAGAATGTCTACCCTTGAGGAGCTGTAGCCCTTCTTTCATAAGGCAGCTGAGAACCTCTTTACAATAGATACTGTAAAGTCTCCATGGCCCAGTCAAAGAGACCTGCTTCCTTTATTCATGGTGCCCATCAAATAATAAAAATGAAATTAACATGTTCCATTCAATGTGTCTTTTGACAAATCCCAAAACTCTGTGAAATTGAGGAGTCACTGGTTAGGATAAAGACACAATTATAGAACAAACAAAACAAATGCCTTGAAATCTATGACCGTAACAGAGAGCCAGAAGCCCTCTCCTCCTCTGGGTGAGAGCAAGAGTGGGCAGAAGGTAGAAATGCTCTCTCTAGGCACCCGTGCCCAGTCACCTTGCATGGCATGACGTCAGATGAAAGCATCTGCTGACTGTCAGAGGTGTAATTACTACCAGGGTGGGGGTGTAATTAAACCAAGGATAATTTACCTCGAAGAAGATAAAAATTAAGAATTATTAATGATCATAATAATTAGCCCTTTCATATCTAAGAATCACAAAATGCTTTACAAGCTGTAATTATAACAGCTCCCTTGTGAGGAAGGGATTCGTATCTTACAGTTCCTCACTTGACAGAGGGTTAAAGAGATGGGCATGGGAGAAGGCTGAGCGAGGTGGAATACTGCCTCCCTTGTCATCTGTCCTATAAGCAGTGAAACTGAAAAGAGGCCCCAGAAAGGCTGACTCTTAGTGAGTACCCTCACCGTCAAGCCATCACTCAAACAATCCATCCCAGAGTCAGCAACGCATCTCATTCTGACCTGTTGGCCACTTAAAATTACATAGTATCAGCAAAGATTTTATTAAACACCTAGTAGAAAAAAGATATAATACAGCTTTCAAGGAACTTAAAACCTAATGGAGAAGACAAAAAGAAGCAACCATTAAATTAAAGAATATCAAAATTATACATTCACTAGCACAGTTTGTACAATACCAACTACGCATGCTATGGAGAAAATTTTCTTAAATTGGAAGACCATTGCATATAATAATCAAAGAAAGTTTTGGGGGAGGGTATGAAATTTGTATGCAGTATCAAAGAAACCATGTTGGGCTTTATATGGGGAGAAGTGGGATCCTGAGAGGTAGGTAAATGAATGAGAAGAAACAATAGGAACACCTGAAAGATTTAATGCATAATTGCTTAAAATCTTCATTAGAGAAGTATATGTAGAGCTTCCCAAAGAATCTTACTTTTTTCAAAGCCTTCTAAAATCATTCTAGTTCAAAATCATATAGGGTTTTTTTGGATCCAGAGAAGCCCATTAGACTGAAAATGACACTAAAATCTTCCCTGTTTTATTTAAATTTTCACTTGGAAGATTACCCAATTGAACTGGCAGGGTCTGAAATCCAATGTCAAATCTGTTATCTCTTTTTTTTCCTGGATTCTAACAAGAGAAAATAAAAAATGAGTCCTTGAATGAGATGAAGACTAGGGAAACCTTATTACTTTCTTAGTTCTTTGTTTGTTAATCTGGCAGAGCACCCCCAAAAAGATTTCATCTGTGAGAGGGGCTTCATGAATAATGTAATACTGAAGCATCCGAGTGACATAAATTTTATTTTTTATTTTCAATTCCTCTGTAATAAAGAGTTGAAGCCTAAAAGCCAACTATAATAGAATACTGTAGTTGTGCTGAATAAATTGATAAAGACATCCTGGTACAAATGGAGTAGGGGGACTTGGGTCCTCCTGTGACAGTCAGTCATGTTTTTTGACTTCTCAGGGCCTCAGTCTCCAGTCTTAAAAAAAAAAAATAAAGATAATGAAACTCTTTGTTTATAAAAAATGTGGAGATATTCAGTTATAAAAACACCATTTTTTCTCCAAGAACCACAAAGAGGAGACACTACCATATTTCAAGGATTCCCAGTTTGCCTTAAATAAAGACTGGATTAATTTGTTAGTACTTGATAATTTTCTACATTCTCTGGCATTTACCAACCTTCTAAGAAACTAGAAAACAGTGAAAAGTATTTCCTACCCAAACCCCAAGTCAGAGACTTCTACCAAACCTATATTCTTAATTAATGACACTGTAGGAAATAAAAGAACATTGTGTAGCAAAAAGGGCCACTTCATTAAGAGAATATAACACCTGATTTTATTTTTTTAAGATTTATTTATTTACCTGAAAGTCAGAGTTACAGAGAGAGAAGGAGAAACAGAGAGAGATCTTCCATTCACAGATTCACTACCCAGATGGGTGCAGAAGCCAGGAGGCAGTAACTTTATCCAGGTCTCCCAAGGGGGTGTCAGGGGCCCAAACATTTGGGCCATCTTCCACTGCTTTTCTCAGGCCATTAACAGGAAGCTGGATTGGAAGTAGAGCAGCCGGGACACAAACTCATCACCTTTCTGGTAATGGACCAATAACAGGAAGGAAAAAGAGGCCAATTCCCTTAGGCTTGTGTAGGTTTTTAAATATTTCCTGTTATCATGAATGCAATTTCAGGTGTATTTCAAGGCTATTCAAAGGATTTTCCTTCCAGGTTTGCCAGCATATTTGTTTTGCTTGCTCAACTATGATTTTTGAATTTTAATGGTATTTTCCCTTAATTCTCATGGAAATAAATAAGTAGCTAGCCCCCTTTTGGGTATATTGGCTATAATCACATAAATGCATCCCACCACCTGGACTGAGATTCCTAGTAAATTACACATAGGTGGGTAAAAACAGAAAGAGGTGTAAGGCAGGACTTGTCCAGGGAATTCCTTGAGGAGCACCCATACAAAAGCTTACTTCTGTGAGAGAGAAGGGTGACTTGTAGCCTCAGCATATACATTTCTCATGCTGGTCCTAACCTAGGTTAAGTGAACTATGCAAAATCCTAAAAAGAAGGGGGGGAAAAAGAGAGAGGTCTTCACTCTTCACCAAGGAGCTGTCTATCAGGTTTGCTTACCGAACCAAGAAAGTAAGTGTCAAGTCTGACAGTTCTAGGTAAACTCCTAGGTTACAGACTTCAGTGCAGAAGCCCTTCATGAGGCAGAAATGGGGCAAGCTCAAAATGTCCCCTATTACTTCCACCTTCTTCACCTCACATATGGGATGGCAGCAACTGAGGGAGCAAATAAAATTCAATTCCACCATCATCTGGAACAATCTATACATAAATGAATAGCCACCAAGATTTATGTTCCTTGAGGGTGGGCATTTGACAAAGTGATTAACACACTGCTTGGAATGCCTGTATCCCATATTGGAGTACCTAAGTGCCAGTTCCACTTCCAACTCCAGCTTCCTCGTAATGTGTACCCTGGAAGACAGTATATAGTGGGTCCCTGCTACCCAAAAGGAGACCTGGATTGAGTTTCCAACTCCTGGCTTCAGCCTGCACCAGCCCTGGTTGTTGTAGACATTTGGGGAGTGAGCCAGTAACTGGGAGTGTCTGCCTCTCTCTCTCTCTGTCTCTCTCTGCCCCTTTCTCTGTCTCTATAGCTCCAAATCCAAATACATAAAATCTCCAAAGTATGCCATTAAAGGTCCTTACAGTCTCCTCAAAATTCAGAAAACCCAATACTTGCCTCTGTTGGACAAACGAAGAAGCAGAAATACAGAGAAGCCACTGAATCATTTAATAGTCCCCACAAACCGATTATGAACTAAAGTTTCATATATCCTGAAATGTAAGGGTGGGAGTTGCTGACAACCAAGGATAAACCCAGTTCCTAACAATAAAACAGCACTGAGATTTGCAAATGATCACCAGAGTTGAGAAAGCCTGATGGCTATAATGGGCTAGAATGACCGATTACCTTAATGTGCTTCTAGCAGAAGCAGACTCAAGCATTTAGGTGTCATAATCATTAGTAACTTGGGCTGAGCAGGATGATTATATCTACAGTAATGCATTACACCAGCTCTTTTTCTCCAGGGGCATCAATATGCTAATGAAACAAGAAAAGAAATAAGCAAACTTCATTCAAATCAACCATATTAAGAATAAAATTTTATAGACTTCAAGTTTTCTTATGAACACTTTAATAAACATTTTAAGGTACCCTCCAAAAAGTGTTTGCTGTTGAGGCAATTTCCAATGTGTAGGAAAACCATCATCTTAAGACTCAGGAATCTTCTCATCTGCCTTTTTAGGGAAGAAACCAAACCAATTCCTTCTCTCTCTCTCTCTCTCTCTCTCTCTCTCATTGTTCTGGAATTGCTTCAGGCAGCTTCCGTGAAATGAATTGGTTCTCATCAGTTTAGTTCAGAGTTCCTATTTAATCCCAACTTAAAACTTGTATCTTTTATAAAAAGTAGAGTTTAGAGGTTATTCCTTTGTAATGATGTCACAATAAAGATTATGAACATTTAATACCTTTATTTTATGGTTTTATTTAATTGTAACCAATTCAAGAAAATCAGAGATTCTGCCAAATAGTCTACCCTTGCATATTAGGTATGGCCAGTATCCTAACTGTCAGGAGACAAGGTCTGTAGATCTCGTGCCAATTAGCTACGTGAGCAAATATGAGATAAACAAGCCATTCGTGGAGACAGAGGTGGAGCTTGGCTTGGTTGGGAATGAATCAGGCCATCCCACAGAGTGGGTGTCTCCTTCCCAAGTTGCTCTCCAGGGCACAATTAAAACCCCTATAAAAGGCCAAGCTCCCAGTTACCAGGTACACTTGCCAGCAGTGTCAGCGAGCACTTGACTTCTTTCTCTGGTGAAGTGGGTAAGTCCCATTCTATGATATCACTTACTTCTCTGATTCTTCATTTTTCCATTGTAGATGTTCGGGAGTAGAAAAAGATTCTATGTGCTAGAAAAGATCGGTTTCTTATCAGAATTGTTAATTTTAACTCAATTGCATCTTCTTATAGTTGGAGCTATCACTTGAAAGAGAATGGCCCTCTCCCAAGCCCTAAACTCTATATATTTGCACATAAGGGGATGATCATATGTGGCTCTGATAGGGCTCATCTTCCTAAAATCTGCCATCTCAAAAGTTTGCCATCCTCTGTTCTTTTTATATTAGTTCTACCTAGCATGGGCCATCATCATATGACAGCTGAGAAGGACATAAAGAGTCATCTAGATATCTCTATACACTCAACCAGAAAAGTAATTCATGTATTTTTTTTTAGATTTTTAAATTTATTTTATTTGAGACTTAGAGTTATAGACAGTGAAAGGGAGAGACAAAGAGAAAGGTCTTCCTTCCATTGGTTCACTCCCCAAATGGCTGCCAATGACCGGAGCTGTGCCAATCTGAAGCCAGGAGCCAGGCACTTCTTCCTGGTCTCCCACATGGGTGCAGGGGCCCAAGGACTTGGGCCATTTTCTACTGCTTTCCCAGTCCATAGCAGAGAGCTGGACTGGAAGAAGAGCAGCCAGGACCCATATGGGATGCTGGCACCGCAGGCAGAGGATTAACTGGCCTCCATTCATGTATTCTTTTAACATCAACCTGATGCTGGCTAATTCTTTTTATACTGCCAAGAGTCAAATGGTTTGTTTAGGGTTTTTAAAAGGTTAACCATGCCGGCGCCGCGGCTCACTAGGCTAATCCTCCGCCTAGCGGCGCCGGCACACCAGGTTCTAGTCCCGGTCGGGGCGCCGGATTCTGTCCCGGTTGCCCCTCTTCCAGGCCAGCCCTCTGCTGTGGCCAGGGAGTGCAGTGGAGGATGGCCCAGGTGCTTGGGCCCTGCACCCCATGGGAGACCAGGAAAAGCACCTGGCTCCTGGCTCCTGCCATCGGATCAGCGCGGTGCGCCGGCCGCAGCGCGCCGGCCGCGGCGGCCATTGGAGGGTGAACCAACGGCAAAAGGAAGACCTTTCTCTCTGTCTCTCTCTCTCACTGTCCACTCTGCCTGTCAAAAAAAAAAAAAAAAAAAAAGGTTAACCATAAGACCAACATCATTAACAGTATTCCAGATTCAGTTTGGTCTATTGGTTTTGGTAGCCAATCAGAAAGAAACTCTCAGAAGCTTCTATAGCTAAAGATCATGATATCCATAATATAACTGAGTTAAAGGAGGTACCCTGCACTCTCTGCTTTCTACCCTTGTGCATCTAAATGTTACACTGCCATCTTTTAAAAATATTCATTTTATTTACTTGAAGACCAGATAGAAGGAGAGACAGACAAAGAAACCTGCTGTCCATAGGTTCACTCACCAAATAGCCAGGAGCCAAGAACTCAATCAGCTTTCTCATGGAAGAGCACAGTAGTAGGGAGCCAGAATTACAGCAGAGCCAGGACTCAAACCAGGAAATCCAGTATGGGATGAGAGTATCCAAAGTGGTATCTTAACTGCTGTGTCGCATGCCCCAGTGTCATCTTTTAACTAGAAGTGTTTAATCTTATAGTTGGTGATTTATAAATTATACTCCTAGATATATCAAGGACTATAATGTTGAGACTAATTTACACTGACATTTCATTGTTCCACTGCTACCACTTGTTTGTTGACATAATGGGTTGTACAAGATTCTATCCATTTAAGATGTTCTCATGTCTTTCTTCAGTTTTTGGCTTTCACCTATTCTCTTTGTTCAATTTTAGAAAGTAGTTATGGGTAGCAAATTTAAATTTCTTCATTCTTTTTTTATTGTCTACTAAGAAATATGCTGGAAAGCTGAAAGAAAGATAGAAAGAAAGGATATGGATAATCTAGGTTGGATAAACAATGAAAACTGGCTACTCATTTAGGATAGTTTGAATTTGATTCCTTGACTTGGAATTTCTCAAGATCTGTCTTCCCCTTCATGAATACAATATTCAAAGTTAAAAGCTTTATAAGTGCTTTATAATTAACTACAGCTGAAAAGTCAAATTATTTGGGAATCTATCTGAAACAGTATGAATGAAGCCTTCCCAAAAGCAGAGACAGAGTTTTGATTCTGAATCCTATTTTGTTCTAGGTTTACTTGAAGAAAGAAAAAAATGTCTCCACTTTTGAAAAGCATCATTGATATTATTGAAATTTTCAACCAATATGCCTCACATGACTGTGATGGGGCAGTACTAAAGAAGAAAGACCTAAAGATCCTTCTTGACAGGGAATTTGGAGCTGTCCTTCAGGTAAGAGCTAATGAGAAAAGGCAATATCTCTACGGATTCAGAGCAAGAAATGGTGACTTTTATATTCATTTTACACCATGAAAAGTCTGCACATCTCCCTATTTATTTCTGAGTCAGAAGGAACTAAAACTGGCATGATGGTCTGCACACTAAAGAAACTGGTAGAAATGATGAGAATGAACTGTTCATGGGACATTACCATCAGTGATGTCAAATCAAACTAGATTTGGACTGTTTTAATTTGCTTCCAAATTTCAAGAAATGAAATAAGCCTGTTCTCTACTATAGAGGTGTTACCATAAATGTTTTACTGTTTTCAAACATAGGATTAGGAGTATTGGCTATTTAAGACAAAAAAGCTAATATAAATCATCATAACTTTCCATTGTATCTCTGTCTCTCTCTCTTTCTCGAGGTTTCATTCATTCTTATTTACCCAGCCCCCCCAAAAAATTGTGTTATTTTGATCAGCATTAATTTGCAAGATGCAAAGCTTTCCAAGGAATGTATGCTTTAAAATAAAGGTTTCACATTTTACATGGGGACACAAGACTTGATACATGCTAATTATTTTCTAATTGCTCTGAATGTCTGTTTTTAAACTTTTCTAAAACTTTGAGAGGGAGAGGAAAAGAGGGAGAGAGGAGAGTCTCATCTGGTAGTTCACTCCCCATATGTACTCAACAGCTGTGGTTGGGCCTGGGCTGGAGACAGGAACAGGGAACTCAATCTAGGTTTCCCACATGAGTGGTAAGACTCCAGTTCCTGTAGTCATCATGCTGCCTTGTTGGGAAAATGGAATTGGGAACCAGAGCACAGAACCAACCCCATGCAGTATGATGTGGGATGCAGGCATCTTAACCCTAAGCTAAATGTCCACTTCTTGAATGTGTCTTGAATGTCAGCACAGCATAACATAAAAGTATGTTATGACTATGATAAAATTTTCTTACCTGTAAATAGTACATTGTAAAACAATTTTTTTCAACTTTTTTCATAGAGACCACATGACCCTGAGACGGTAGACGTGATGCTAGAACTTCTGGATCGCGACTCTGATGGTCTGGTCGGGTTCGATGAATTCTGCCTACTTATTTTCAAGTTGGCTCAAGCGGCTTATTATGCACTTGGCCAGGCCTCGGGGTTAGACGAGGAAAAGCGGTCCCACGGTGAGGGCAAGGGGCGCCTGTTACAAAATCGCAGGCAAGAAGATCAAAGGAGATTCGAACTCCGGGACAGACAATTCGAAGATGAACCAGAGCGACGACGCTGGCAAAAGCAGGAACAGGAGAGGGAGCTCGCTGAGGAAGAGGAACAGAGGAAGAAACGAGAGCGATTCGAGCAGCACTACAGTAGGCAGTACCGCGACAAGGAGCAGCGGCTCCAAAGGCAAGAACTAGAAGAGCGCCGCGCAGAGGAAGAGCAGCTGCGAAGGCGCAAGGGTCGCGACGCGGAGGAGTTCATTGAGGAAGAGCAGCTGCGAAGGCGAGAGCAGCAAGAGCTGAAGAGGGAGCTCCGCGAGGAGCAGCAGCAAAGGCGAGAGCGCCGAGAGCAGCACGAGCGGGCGCTCCAGGAGGAAGAAGAGCAGCTGCTGAGACAGAGGCGCTGGCGCGAGGAACCACGCGAGCAGCAGCAGCTGAGGCGCGAGCTGGAAGAGATACGCGAACGCGAGCAGAGACTTGAGCAGGAGGAGAGGCGCGAGCAGCAGCTGAGGCGCGAGCAGAGACTTGAGCAGGAGAGGCGCGAGCAGCAGCTGAGGCGCGAGCTGGAAGAGATACGCGAACGCGAGAAGAGACTTGAGCAGGAGGAGAGGCGCGAGCAGCGACTTGAGCAGGAGGAGAGGCGCGAGCAGCAGCTGAAGCGCGAGCTGGAAGAGATACGCGAACGCGAGCAGAGGCTTGAGCAGGAGGAGAGGCGCGAGCAGCTGCTGGCTGAGGAGGTGCGGGAACAGGCCCGGGAGCGAGGCGAGAGCCTCACCCGGAGGTGGCAGCGGCAGCTAGAGAGTGAGGCCGGCGCACGTCAGAGCAAAGTCTACTCCAGGCCCCGCAGGCAGGAAGAGCAGAGTCTCCGCCAGGACCAGGAGAGGAGGCAGCGCCAGGAACGTGAACGGGAGCTGGAAGAGCAGGCCCGCCGGCAGCAGCAGTGGCAAGCAGAAGAAGAGAGCGAGAGGCGCCGCCAGAGGCTGTCGGCCAGGCCCTCGTTGCGCGAGAGGCAGCTGAGGGCGGAGGAGCGCCAGGAGCAGGAACAACGGTTCCGGGAGGAGGAGGAGCAGCGGCGCGAGAGGAGGCAGGAGCTGCAGTTCCTCGAGGAGGAGGAGCAGCTCCAGCGACGGGAGCGTGCCCAACAGCTCCAGGAAGAGGACAGCTTTCAGGAGGATCGGGAGAGGAGGCGACGCCAACAGGAGCAGCGCCCCGGCCAAACATGGAGGTGGCAACTCCAGGAAGAAGCCCAAAGACGCCGTCACACGCTGTACGCCAAACCGGGGCAGCAGGAGCAGCTGAGGGAGGAAGAGGAGCTGCAAAGGGAGAAGAGGCGCCAGGAGCGGGAGAGAGAATATCGGGAGGAAGAGAAACTGCAGAGAGAGGAAGACGAGAAGAGACGACGCCAGGAACGCGAGAGACAATACCGGGAGTTAGAGGAGCTGCGGCAGGAAGAGCAGCTGCGTGACAGGAAACTCCGCGAGGAGGAGCAGCTCCTTCAAGAAAGGGAGGAAGAGAGGCTGCGCCGCCAGGAACGCGAGAGGAAACTCCGCGAGGAGGAGCAGCTGCTGCGCCAGGAGGAGCAGGAGCTCCGCCAGGAACGCGAGAGGAAACTCCGCGAGGAGGAGCAGCTGCTGCGTCGGGAGGAGCAGGAGCTCCGCCAGGAACGCGAGAGGAAACTCCGCGAAGAGGAGCAGCTGCTTCAGGAGAGGGAGGAAGAGAGGCTGCGCCGTCAGGAACGCGCCAGGAAACTCCGTGAGGAGGAGCAGCTGCTGCGCCAGGAGGAGCAGGAGCTCCGCCAGGAACGGGAGAGGAAACTCCGCGAGGAGGAGCAGCTGCTGAGACGCGAGGAGCAGCTACTGCGCCAGGAACGCGACAGGAAACTCCGCGAAGAGGAGCAGCTCCTTCAGGAAAGCGAGGAAGAGAGGCTGCGCCGCCAGGAACGCGAGCAACAACTTCGTCGGGAGCGCGACAGAAAGTTCCGCGAGGAGGAGCAGCTCCTTCAGGAGAGGGAGGAAGAGCGGCTGCGCCGTCAGGAACGCGAGAGGAAACTCCGTGAGGAGGAGCAGCTCCTTCAGGAGAGGGAGGAAGAGCGGCTGCGCCGTCAGGAACGCGAGAGGAAACTCCGTGAGGAGGAGCAGCTGCTGCGCCAGGAGGAGCAGGAGCTCCGCCAGGAACGCGAGAGGAAACTCCGTGAGGAGGAGCAGCTGCTGCGCCAGGAGGAGCAGGAGCTCCGCCAGGAACGCGAGAGGAAACTCCGCGAGGAGGAGCAGCTGCTGCGCCAGGAGGAGCAGGAGCTCCGCCAGGAACGCGAGAGGAAACTCCGCGAGGAGGAGCAGCTGCTGCGCCAGGAGGAGCAGGAGCTCCGCCAGGAACGCGACAGGAAACTCCGCGAAGAGGAGCAGCTCCTTCAGGAAAGCGAGGAAGAGAGGCTGCGCCGTCAGGAACGCGAGAGGAAACTCCGTGAAGAGGAGCAGCTGCTGCGTCGGGAGGAGCAGGAGCTCCGTCGGGAACGCGCCAGGAAACTCCGTGAGGAGGAGCAGCTGCTTCAGGAGAGGGAGGAAGAGAGGCTGCGCCGTCAGGAGCGCGCCAGGAAACTCCGTGAGGAGGAGCAGCTGCTGCGCCGGGAGGAGCAGGAGCTTCGTCAGGAGCGCGACAGAAAGTTCCGCGAAGAGGAGCAGCTGCTTCAGGAGAGGGAGGAAGAGAGGCTGCGCCGTCAGGAACGCGACAGAAAGTTCCGCGAGGAAGAAAGACAGCTTCGTCGCCAGGAACTCGAGGAACAGTTTCGTCAGGAGCGCGACAGGAAATTCCGCGAGGAGGAGCAGCAGCGACGCCGCCAGGAACGCGAGCAACAACTTCGTCGGGAGCGCGACAGAAAGTTCCGCGAGGAGGAGCAGCTCCTTCAGGAGAGGGAGGAAGAGCGGCTGCGCCGTCAGGAACGCGCCAGGAAACTCCGCGAGGAGGAGCAGCTGCTGAGACGCGAGGAGCAGCTACTGCGCCAGGAACGCGACAGAAAGTTCCGCGAGGAGGAGCAGCTGCTTCAGGAAAGGGAGGAAGAGAGGCTGCGCCGACAGGAACGCGAGAGGAAACTCCGCGAGGAGGAGCAGCTGCTTCAGGAAAGGGAGGAAGAGCGGCTGCGCCGTCAGGAACGCGAGCAACAACTTCGTCGGGAGCGCGACAGAAAGTTCCGCGAGGAGGAGCAACTGCTTCAGGAAAGCGAGGAAGAGCGGCTGCGCCGTCAGGAGCGCGCCAGGAAACTCCGCGAGGAGGAGCAGGAGCTCCGCCAGGAACGCGCCAGGAAACTCCGCGAGGAGGAGCAGCTGCTGCGCCAGGAGGAGCAGGAGCTCCGCCAGGAACGCGACAGAAAGTTCCGTGAGGAGGAGCAGCTGCTGCGTCGGGAGGAGCAGGAGCTCCGTCGGGAGCGCGACAGAAAGTTCCGCGAGGAGGAGCAGCTGCTTCAGGAAAGGGAGGAAGAGCGGCTGCGCCGTCAGGAGCGCGCCAGGAAACTCCGCGAGGAAGAAGAGCAACTGCTGTTTGAGGAGCAGGAAGAGCAGAGGCTCCGGCAGGAGCGAGACCGGCGGTACCGAGCAGAGGAGCAGTTTGCCAGAGAGGAGAAGAGCCGTCGTCTGGAAAGAGAGCTGCGTCAAGAAGAAGAGCAGAGACGCCGCCGGGAACGGGAGAGGAAATTCCGGGAAGAGCAGCTCCGCCGCCAGCAGGAGGAGGAGCAGAGGCGCCGCCAACTGCGGGAGAGACAATTCCGAGAAGATCAGAGCCGTCGGCAAGTTCTGGAGCCCGGTACACGTCAGTTTGCTAGGGTCCCGGTGCGCTCCAGCCCTCTTTATGAATACATCCAAGAGCAGAGATCTCAGTACCGCCCCTAAGAGATGTTGCCGGTGTCCTGACACCTGCCAAAGCCTCAAGCAAAAGAAAGTGAGAAACAGTGCGTACCAAACGATAACGCAAATGTTTCTGGTTGTGGGAAAATTCTCTGATGTTAGAATGTGTCTTTTCTTCCAAAATCTTTACACTCATTTCATGTACTTTGTACTTCTACCTTTTATTCTTTGTCAAGTAGTTCTTTACTACAATATATCTTTGCTCTTTGGTGCAGATATAGTGAGCATTTTTTAAAACAACAACCCTTTAATTTGTTTAAGGAGTTTTGTTTGAGGAACACGTTGATTTATTGCCTTAAAAGTGGCAAGAATAATAGGACAATTTGATATTGAGAAAAATTGGCTCTACATCATTAACAATTGAACCATCTTGTGGAGTGTTCAAATGTTTTTAATGTTCAAGTTGATATTTCGTCTTAGGCCTAAATTTAATTCACCTTTACTTCCAAATAGCTTCAGATCTTTTGTGGCATAGTTAACACAGATTCTTCCAGGTGACTGAGTTTTTACAATCCTTGAATAGTACAAGGGGAAGTGACTTCTGCAGTAAAACTCCCTATGAAGTTAAGTCCTTAACTGGAAGAATACCACTTAAGAATAAGGTTTAGCTTGGAGACAAAATTCGGAATATGTTTTCCTACACAACTCCACTTGAACACAAACACTTAATCTCTTGAAGCAAAAATAAGATGTTTCTCAAACAATTTCAGAGCTCATATATTAAAACTATCTCCTGTAGTTTCTAGTGCTGTGTTCTGTTTCCCCCAAGTTTTGATGGGTTTGGGAATATACCTTTGTGAACTTTGTCTTAGAGGGAACCTGACCAGGATCCTATCTTGCTGTAGGACCCATGAGATCACAGAACGTGTTGGGGGATGGAAACGGGGAAAATGTGTGAACAGAGCGGCAAGTTTCTAGATGCTCTTTAACAAGATTCATCAGCCCACAATCCTTTGAGGCCTATTGATACTACCTTGGAGACAGTCTTGTTGAAATAATTGCACTGTGAGACATCAATAATAAATGTTTGGCAAGTAATTATTTGTGTCTGTTTTAATTACATCTTGGTCATAACTCAAGATCTAGTTGTGTGAATATTGGCATAAGTTCCCAATCACTTAAAAATACTTTGTTACTCTTATCTATGACCTAATAAGAAAAGGGGAAGACCCTCTTTTTCCCCACCTTTTTTCCCAGTTAAATTATTTCCATCCTCACACTGATTTCTCTTTCCAAGTGTTTTTGTTCATGACCCCAGAGTTTCCTATGCCTTTTCTTGCATTGACTCCCTAGTCATTACAAATACTCAGTGCTCTCAGTGTTTAATATTTCCTTCTGAGAATTCAAAAGCTTCTTATTCTCCGATGTCTGATAATTCAATGTTAGAAAAATAGCCTGGGGGTGGGTGCAGTGAATAAAGCCGCCACCTGCAGTGCTGGCATCCCATATAGGCCCTCATTTGAGTCCTGGCTGCTCCACTTCTGATCCAGCTCTCTGCTATGGCCTGAGAAAGTAGTAGAAGATTGTTGAGTTGGATCCGTTCTGAGAGGAGGAGCATGGTGGGGGCAAGAGGTGCGGAGTCACCACACAGACCCCTGGAGTCTGCTAAAAGCAGGCCTTAGGCGAGCAGCCGGCAGACTTGTTTATTTCAGTTGGTACAGCAGCTTAAATAGTCAAGGCAGCCAACCTGGTCAAGGGGTGGCCTATGCCCTAACCAATCACAGCCTGTTGCCAGGCAGTTTCCATTGCCGGTGGCCATCTTGGCATGGCCTTCTCATTCCACCACAGAAGATGATCCAAATCTTTGGGCCCCTGCAAATGCATGGTAGATCCAGAAGAAGCTCCTAGCTACTGGCTTTGGGTCCGTGCAGCTCCTGCTGTTGCAGCCATCTGGGGAGTGAACAAGTGGATGGAAGAACTCTCTCTCTCTCTCTCTGCCTCTGCCTCTGCCTCTCTAACTCTTTCAAGTAAACAAATAAGATCTTTTTAAAAAAAGAAAAACAGCCTGAAATTTCAGATCACTGCCACAGAAAATGACCCATTGATTGAAGCAATACAACCCAGGTAGTGACAATCAAATTTTGTTGTGGCCCTAATATTCCTGTGCCACCTGCAGGAGTCTGTATTTACAATTCACAGTTTGGAAATTATAAATAAGTCCAAGAAGACCCAGATCAGTATATCATAAGTTTTAATTGTTACAGTCATGGATGAAAAGATGCCCTAATTAATAATCAGTCAACATTTTGGTGAATTGAGACAAAGAAGCTAAGCCCATAGCTCTTGAATATCATTCTGAGAGACCAAGGTAGCATTCTCTCTCTCTCTCTCTCTCTCTCTCTCTCTCTTTCCCTCTCTCCACACATACACACAAAATAGATGCTCACCTAGGAGAGAATCGGAGACTCTCCCAAAATTGTCTTGAAATTTCATTTCTTTCAAATGATTACTAACTGCAAAAATACCTCTTCCCTAACGTAAGTTGAATACTTAAGGATCTTTACAGAAAATCTAGGAAGCACCTCATTGACTTTCTCTTGGGATCCTCTCAAAGGGTGCTCATCTGAGCACTTCCTTATAAATGTTCAGTCTCAGGATACCACTGAAATATTTTCATCAGATAATCTAGAGTTCAGTGATAATGATTAGGGTAAAAAAAAAAAAAAACCCTTCAACTCCTTATACCACTTTACAAGATGAGGAGAATACAGTTTCCAAAGAAGAAATATTGTTTCATCATAGTTACAATGACATGTTATAGAACAACAACAAAAGTGTCAGCCAATGCCCGCTGGCTATTCTTTCGCATGCTGGCAGGAGAACATGAAAGCCAAATCTCTTGCTTCACCTGAATAATGTACTTGCATGGACAGGACCTTGAGTTTGTTGGGCAATTACCTGCTTCACTATAAACTGAGAGCTCTATTAATAGATTGGCGGCTGCTGTGATGAACAGCTGGTTTCCATGTGTTCTGGCCTGAATTGTGTTCCCTCCAAAGAATCATATGTTGAAGTCCTAACCTTTAGTGACTCGAGTTGTACTTTGGAGATACAGTATTTTTAAGGATAATTAAAGTGAGGTTGTTAGGTTGGGTCCTAACCCAATTTCACTGGTGTCCTTATAGTATGAAGAAATTTGGACACAAACATAGGAGAGGGAAGATGATGTAAAAACAGAGGGACAAGATGACCAACTACAAGCCAAGATAGAAGCCTGGACTAAATCTTTTCCTTACAGTCTTCAGAAGAAAACAGCCCTACTGACACCTTGATCTTGAACTCCAGAACTGTGAGAAAATAAATTCTTTTGTTTAAGCCTCCCAGCCCAAGGATACACCAGGTAAGCAGGGGTTGTGTTGCTAGCTAAGCCTATCTTATTGTGATGATTATCTTTTGACATTGAATAGATAGTTCCTGGTTGTTCAAAGACACTTTTTTTAAAAAATTAAAACCACCATAGTTTCATTGGGAAGTAGAAAGAATGAAACAAGGAATCAAAAGCCTGGGATTTATTCATTCAATCCATTCAACAAATATTACTGAACTCCTGGGTATGTGCCAGATATTGTTCCAGGCAATATCCCTACAGTAGTGAGAAAGCCAATCTGGCCTCTTTCTTCACTTTTCTGTGTGTCCTTTGCAAGCTGCATAAACTTTCTGGCCCACCACTGTTTGGTATTTCAAGCTATGATACTGGAATAGCTATCACCAAGGTTATTCCCAGGACTGAGTAAAAGTTATTTTAATTCTAACATTCAGTTTGTTCAATTGAAACTCTGAAAACAACTTTAACAATCCCTCTCCTCTACTTTTAACTTCAGGTATTAGAGAACAAGAGAAAAATTACCGACAAAGGTGATAAGGGCCTGGTTCCAGCTTCAAAACTTTTTTTTTTTTTAAACAACCATCCCTGAACTAACTTACACTTCCACTGGTCTCCTAAACTCTTCCTCAGAATACCTTCTTATCATCCCAGGTTTGTTCATTGAGGAAGAAGACTTTAAGCCTCCCCATTTTCCTTCACTTGAGTACTACTAAAGATCATTGCCCTTCTGACTTATGAATTTCCCATATGCATTTAATTATTCTTTTGTTTCTGAGGAGATAATGATTTGGAATCACTCAAACTAAAATTCAGTGGCCATAAGTATGAGTTAAGTATGAACTCATCTCTGCTCCTTGTTCTTTCACTAATGATACATTGCCATTATGTGTACTCAGTCATGGTAATTATGTGTTTTTTTCACCAAGTATACTGGGACTGACTCCCCTAAGCAAGAGGAAACTCTGCCAGCAGATGGCCCTAGAACTTAAATTATAGCACTAGCTCTTCCCTGTGTCTTCAGCTTGCTGGCCCACCCTGCAGATTTTGGACTTGCTGACCTTCATTAGTGTGTGAGCCAATTCCTTAAAATAAATCTCTTCCTACTGAATTAAGACAACAAATTTTATACATATAGGTTCCATTTATAGATTCTAATTATCTGGAGAATCCTATAAGGTGGGATGTTAGGAAGGTAGGTTAATCATGAGTGTGGAGCAAATTTCATGTTCCATTACTTGCTAACGTCCTCAGTTCTCTTTCCCAAATTGTCTTTCAGTCACATCAGCCTGGAAAAAATCTAATCTTTGGTTGGGTATAACTCTGTCTTCTGCATCTGTACTGAGCATGGCTGGAGAAAACCCCATAGCTGAACACATTGGTGTCATGAGAAATATATGATCTTAGTCTTAAACTGGAAGCTCAGTACTTTTCGGTGATCATACAGCTTCCATTGTTAGTTTTCTGTGTTCTACAAAAGTTACTGTACTTTTTAATTTTTTTATTTATTTTAAAGACAGTTACAGAGAGAGATAGAGACAGAGAGAGGTCTTCCATCTACTGGTTCACTCCCCAAATGGCCACAACAGCCAGAGCTGAGCCAATCTGAAGCCAGGAGCCAGGAGCTTCTTGTCAGGGACCCAAGCACTTGGGACATCTTCCACTGCTTTCCCAGGCCATAGTAGAGAGCTAGATCAGAAGTGGAGCAGCTGGGACTTGAACCAGCACCCATATGGGATGCCAGCACTGCAGACCAGAGTTTTAACCCACTGTGCCACAGCGCCAGTCCCAACAGTTACTGTATTTTAAACTATCTCCAACCATTTGACTCCCTCCCCACCTCTTTTCCCACTATTGGATAATGATCTTGCCACTTTACTTCATAAATAAAATAAAAATCACCAAACCAGAACGCCTAAACTTTCTTCTACCAGACTAAAACCTTATTGGCATCTATTTACACTCATGTTTTCTTTCTGTTCCAATGGAAAAGGTTCATCTAATTCTAATCTTGTTCTCTGAATGCTATCTTTTCTTGCCTCCTCAGGAAACATGCTATGTTGATCATTCTGTCCCTTTTATATACTTGAACCTGTCTTTATTGGTTTCCTCCCATCAGTACATATATATATACTCAAGTCTCTTCCATTTTACAAAATCCTACCTTGTGCCCACAATCCCACCTGACCTTTCTCCTCCCCTTTATAATTAGTATTCTTGAAAGATTTGTCTTCTTATGTTTCTACTTATTTTCTTTGCATTCCTCAACTCATTCTGTTGATTGTCATTGGTCACAAGGTTATTCAATCATTAGGTACTTTTCAGCACTTATCTTGGTTTCTCAGAAATATTTGATGATAATTGCCTCTTCATTCTTGCAACATGTTCTGTTCAATCTTTTGTGATACTGCATATATTCCTGGTTTTCCTCCTACCTCTCTGGTCTCTTTTCTTTTTTTCTTTTATCTTTCCCTTGAATGTTGGTCTGTCTTAGCCAAGCTCATCTTTTTTTTTTTTTTTTACAGCTAGAGTTAGAGAGAGAGACAGAGACAGAGACAGAGAGAAAGGTCTTCCTTCTGTTGGTTTACCCCACAAATGGCTGCTACGGCCAGAGCTACTCTAATCCAAAGCCAGGAGCCAGATGCTTGTTCCTGGTCTCCCACGCGAGTGCAGGGGCCCAAGGACGTGGGCCATCCTCCACTTCCCTTCTGGGCCA